TGTGCTATCCGAGCTCTGTCCACCGAAAAGAACGAAATTCTAATTCTGACGTAGTAAGTCCGTAGGCCTACCGCTGACCCACAGTGAGTCGAAATCGATTACACGGCCGTTAGTTGCAACGTCATAACGGTCGCTTATAACAATACATAAAAACTGTTTGTTTGTTGTTAAGGGAGGAGGAATACAATGAGTTATTTTTGCTGTGCCCACCACGATTTAATGTAAAACCTTTTAGACTTATCGCTGAGCCACTAAGGGTGGGGGTGGAGAGGCTTTAAAGAATCCAGCGAAAAAACTAGATTATTGATTCTCTGAGCGGAAAACTTTTATGAGATACAGGATTTGTGGATAAATACAATAACTAATAAGTATCTTTTTTGTCTCTTTTTTTCTTTTCAGAAATACGTCTACAATTGGTATTGTTGCGTCAGCGAGTCACGTGACTACTATGACGCCACGTTCTAGAACTATCCTGTACTTTGGCGAATGCTCTAGTGTTTGCTAGATGGGGTAGCGGGTATATATAAGATGGGACAACGTGACGCGGTAAGGTAATGTGCGTGTAGGTAGTGAGTAATTGATCTGCAGTGAGAAAATATTGTTGAAGTTAACATTCGTTATAGCGTTTGTTTTAGCGCGAATGTTGAAATCAAGTGTATCGTGAAGTTATATTCAGGAAGAATAAACCAGTTTTATTAAGTAAGGACTTGTATCGCTAAAGTTTCGTCGGAACAAAGTTACGGAAAGTTAATTAACAAACGGAGACGCAACAGGTATTATTAAACTTCACCGGTGGAACAACGGTAAGCCTACAGATTTTCAACGCTAAGAATTGGTTCGATTTTCCTCGAGGGACACGGGAAATAGCCCACTGTAGCTTTGCTGTGAGGAAATTTCTTTTTTTTACCAGAAGAAGCTATAATTCCTGGAAAAATACTTTTCAATTTAATCCTTTTTTAAAAGTTGGTTTATTCTATCCTCGAAATCTTAAATAAAGCTGTTCGCCTAGCTCAGTGCAACGCTTTATCCGAAAAGGTTGCAGAGCTAATGTTTGTTTATTATTATGTGTTCCACCAGTTTGCAAAATTGTGTTATTGGTATTTTCATTCAGATGGACCGTTACATCATAATTTGTTCCATTCATAACATAAAAAAAGCATTACTGTTTGTTCTATAAAGCATGGTGAGGTTTTGATATGTTTTACAAAATTTGAGAAAACATAAAACCCAGAGAAACTTACTTGTTACAAACATCACAAGCAAGTCTAAAATTCATTTACATAAAACCAAAAAGCAAAGTCAACACAAATGCCAATATTTGGCTGACAAATATCAAAGAAAAATAACTTATTAAGATGAACAAACTTGATAAAATGAGACTTTAGTAACTGGTAGGTTTTCCTCTATTCATTATGACTTCTCTGCACCTGTTCCTCAAATTTCTGATGACATTTCGGATGACTTGTTGGGGCAGCACAGTCCACTCTAAGTTCCTGGACAGTCGTGGGGTCAGGTTCTGTCTCTAACTACTCTGTCTAGCAAGTCACACACACGCTGAATCGGATTAAAATCCAGTGACTTAGCAGACCAGTCCAGTACCTCTGTTTCTTCCTCCTGAAAACATTGCTATGTGATCCTGAAAGTGTGAGGACGGGCGTTATCCTGCTGATATCGAACTCAGTTCCAACAGCACCAGCAAAAGGGCGAACAATGGGTAGCAGGATCTCATCCACGTAACATCTTGCTGTCAGGGATCCATCATCCACCATATAGAGGTCTTTACGACCCTCCATGGTTGAGTCACTCCCAAAGGTATCATGATAGACAATATCACAAGCCAAATATATCTTTCCTTCACGTCTCCAGATCCTCACAAGTCGATCACTTCACGATACACAGAACCTGATCTCATCTGTGAACGGTAAAGAGTCCCATTACTGAATGGTACAGTTGAAATGTTTCTGTACAAACGCCAGTCAGACTATTCAGTACCTTGAAGCTAGTATAGGGATATTCTGGACTTGAGCCTAGCCTCATGAGCCTGTTTTTAACCGTTGAGCACGATATATATGTGATCCAGTAACTTACTGAGACCCCTAGCGCTGCTGGTGAGGTTTCTAGGGGTTAAATACCACAGATATAGGTCCTCCACTCCACCGGTAACCCTTCTGCAACCCTGGCCTAACCTCCTGTGGCCTGGTATTTGCGCCACAATCTACTTACCACAGATTGTGACATTCCCATGACCTGTGTTACTTGAGTCTGGGTGCGATTCTCCTGTAACAGTGCGATGGCTCTCCAAATTTAAGTTTCAGTTAATTGATTTCTAACAGCTTGCACTCTCTTTTCAAATATCAATACCACCAAAAAAAAAACAATAAACCTAGCATTATATCAACAGGAAACATCTTTACTAATCAATCAAAACTAACCTTTTCCTTTACAGAATTTTGGTCATTTCTCCTAAAGACCTATTACGTAAGAAATCATTGATGCATAAACTTACAACCCTTAGGTAGGATTAGTGTAATCTTGAACAATAAGCATACTAAATTTGTAAAACATTGTTAACTTAAAATATAGACAAATATAAACAAACCTCATTATCCTTTATTTTTTATGAGTAGTATGTCTCTTGAGCTGCTAATATAGATTGAATGCTAAAAATATTTTATTCTGCTGGCCTTACTTATTTTTCACAAATTAATGGAAGTAGCGCTGCCAATGAATGGGATATTACAAATATTTTATTCCACTCATTTTATTGGCCTTCCTTATCACAAATTAATGGAAGTAACGCTGCCAATGAATGGAATATTACAAATATTTTTTTCACTAATTTGATTGCATTCCTAGTGGAAGCTAATGCTTCTGTTGAATTTGCCAGTTTTGAAACTTAACACTTATTAAACTTACTTTACAAATAGGGAATTGAAAACGCTCTTTAAAGTGTTATATCACACGATTAAGGTCTTGCGAACGATACATCTAGGAAGAAGTCCACTCTGAGAAGACATCTTTATTTAAATGTTCTAATGTTTTCTTTTTATTATTATTTTTTATCAAGTTTAAATTTTGGCTGATTTCTTATTGCCTGTTCGTCTTTTAAAGTATCACGAAACTCCATCAAGAAATCAAAACTTCAATGAAAACGTCTACAGTCACCAGAGGGCCACATCGATATTATTACGTGCCAAAACACGGTACGTGTAACGCTACCCCAAGTGGCTACACGTTAATGAATTGGCCATTTTCCCGCATTTTAAATAGATAAGTATGTGTGTCACAACACATGAAAAAAAAAAAACTAAACCGAGGCCATTGCCAAGGTTTATATCTAATACCTCATTTCCGAACACCTTAAAAATATAACATCAACATAATGTACATCTAACGTATATTAAGTTTGTAAATTCATAATCAGCGTCTAGATATTCCTCTTTTTTTTTTCTACACGAAAACGTAAAATGAGATCTGACAAAGAGACAAACAAAGACGTACGAGTATGCTTTTAAAATTTAACTTAACAAGTATAACGTGTAAGACGTTTATAATTTTTCGGTGGTAGTGAAAGAACGGATATTTTTAGACTTGTTGAGAGTCTCCGAATGCCGGTAATAGTTCGAACACTTCTCCTGGCCACGCGTACTGTTCTCTGTTCGAAATCCAACGCAAAATCAACCAAAAATTCGAAGATTAAAAAAGTGGTCAAAAAAGATTAACATATTAGATCAGTCATGATTTACACAATAGAAAACAAGAAAATTTGGGTTTTCAAAAAATCAAACTCATTATAAATGATATAGGGTAAGTTGACTCAGCGTAGAAATAAATATGGTCTATCATCCACGTTAACTCTCATCCGTTACTTCTGGCTAAACTCATATAGTGGTCAGAAACTGTTAACGGTATCCATTTAGGACTCGTATAATCATGAACTATTTTTAGTTAATGTTTCCATTTAAAGAAGGTAGATGCTGTGTTCATCTGTACAGTGTGCCCCCCAGTGGCACAGCGGACTTACAACGCTAGAATCCGGGTTTCGATACTCGTGGTGGGCAGAGCACAGATAGCCCATCGTGTAGATTTCCAAACAAACAAACTGTACTGTGTGGTTTATCTGATACTTGTGTATTATTTCGATACTCTATATGATACCATTAAACACAAGATCATCCAGGAGTTTCAACTAAGTCAATAATAACAGATAAATTACTTAGAATTAACTCACTCTATCACTTCACTAATAAAAAAAATGTACAGTAATTAATATATATATTTAAAATAAAGTTCATGAATTTGAAAACGACTACCTTGAGTAAGATTGTCCGAAACTAAATGAAACTGTTCCAACTTCTTCATCTTAAATAACTGGCGCACTTGCGAGCAATCCGTTGCTGTTTCAGCCACGCTGATTCCAGAGCCAAGAGGTCCAGGAGATGTAGGTAACTTGCTGGCGCATCCTTCTCCAAACCAAAACAATATTAAGACCCAAGTAAAAACCGAGATTCCGAGTTCCATTTTCAGCAGACTACAAAAGTTTCACTTCCTAAGCATGAAGGGTTATTTGTTGTATAAGAAATGTACTGTAGGAGGACAGACTAAAACATCGATATTAGTACGGCGGGCTCTCCTATTACACGTGAGTGATACACGCAACGCTATTCTCTCAGCATCCAGTCCAAGCTTGGTGCACATATCGCACCCATTGGCTTCTCAAACATGACGTCACGTCACGTGGTAGTCAACGTCGTCTCACTACGCTTAACTAGCCCGCTGTATTTGAAAAATGGGGCTGTAGTGTAGATCCGCCCTGCATACAACCACTCTATGACAGGCTTCTAAACAGATCATTCATTTACTTCCGGAAACACTTACATAAAGATCAACTATTACACTCACTTAATCGCTATATCATACATATATCACTCCTAAATATGTACTATAAGTATAGTCACCTACTGCTAGACTTACTTAACACATTATTTGTGTAGTATACATGCTATGAATTAAAAGGTGTTTTATTTATGTCAATACATACTAAATATATTACAGAATGAATAAGCACTGGAGTATATGGGACTGTTTGTAATATGCGAGATTGTTAATTTACCAAATACTCAAAGTGTACACGAGTGCAAGTGGACATGGCCCTGATAGGGGAATAGTAGTCATGCTAGTGACATGGGATGAAAACACCCTCATTTATGAAATGTTCAGCATTTAACAGTGCTAACATCAAACCTGAACCGCCCAGATCCCGATAAAGAGAATTCGCTTCACCCTACGTTAAACTAGGAGGAATAGGTCGTGAACGTACCTGAGCCAAAAATCATTATACAGAAACTTCTAGCACTATAAAATAGAAGTTACACATACAAAAAAATTAAAGGATAATGAGGTTTACTTATATTTGTATATTTTTAAGTTATCAATATTTTTCGAACTTAGCATGCTTATTGTACAGGATTACACTAATCCTACCTAGGGTTTGTAAGTTTATGCACCAATGATTTCTTATGTAATAGGCCTTTATGAGAAATGACCAAAATTTTGATTAAGTAGTAAAGATGTTTCCTGTTGAGATAATGCTAGGTTTGTGGACTTTTTTGGTGATATTGATATGAGAGTGCAAGCTGTTGGAAACAAATTAACTGAAACTGAAGGAGGAACTGTTACTGGAGAAACGCAGAGGTCATGAGGGTGTCACAATCTCTGGTCAGTAGATTGTGACGCAGATACCAGGCCACAGGAGAATACGTCAGGAGGTTAGGCCAGAGTTTCAGAAAGGCTACAGATGCAGTGGAGGACCGATATCTGCGGTTTTCAACCCTTATAAACCTCACCAGTAGCGATAGAAATCTTCAGCAAGCCACTAGAGTACGTGTATCGTGCTTAACGGTCAGAAACAGGCTCCTTGAAGCTGGGCTAAAGTTTCCCTATACTAGCCCCAAGACACGAACAGCCCGGCTGGCGTTTGCCCAGAAATATGCCACCTGGACACTTTAGCAATGGACCTCTTTACCGTTCACGGATGAGATCAGGTTCTGTGTTCGTCAAGTGATCGACGTGTGAGGAAAGCGATATTCGGTTTGTAACGTTCTCCACCGTGATACATTTGGGAGTGGCTCAACCATGGTCTGGGATGGCATCAGCATGCGAAGTCGTACAGACTTTTATATGGTGGATGAAGAATCAAGACGTTACGTGGATGAAATCCTGCTACCCATTGTTCGCCCTTTTGCTGGTACTGTCGGAGATGAGTTCGATATCACCAGGATAACACCAGTTCTCACACCGTCAGGACCACGCTGCAATTTGTACAGGTGAAGAAACAGAGGGACTGGACTGGTCTGCTAAGTCACCGGACCTAAATCCGATAGAGCACGTGTGGAACTTGTTAGTGAGAGCAGTTAGGTACAGAACCTGACCCCACAACTGTCCAAGAGTTCAGAGCTGCTCTCGTCCAGGAGTGGACTGTGCTGCCCCAGCAAGGCATGTGAAATGCCATCAACAGTATGAGGAACAGGTGCAGAGAAGTCATAAACAATAGAGGAAAACTTACCAGTTACTAGACACATTGTGCTAAGTTTATTCATCTTAATAAGTTAGTTTTCTTTGATATTTAGGAGCCAGATATTGGCATTTTTCGTTACTTCTGTTGTTTTTTATTATTTGTAAATGAATTTTTCGATTGTCTTGATATTGTTTACTTGTGATATTTGTAATGAACAAGTTTCATCAATGCTGAAAGTCTCTCTGTGTTTTTCTTCAAATTTTTATATCAAAACCTCATTATCGTTTACTTTTTGCGAGATATGTACAAAATGTGTTTGTGCAGGTCCCCAAAAACAATTTCCACAAGGTTTATGTATAATTATGCAAACCTTTCTATGACATCAGATACATTTATCCAGTATTCAGTAAATTACTTAAAAACACTCCATAATCTTAATATTGATAATAAAAGGGTTAAGTGCACATCTCCTATTAATAGCTATTCTAGCTTCCTACCTAAAACCACCTTTCTTTTTTTTTTTTTGCATCAAAAATGGACTGCCTGAGTGATATACAGACGTTAATATCTTAAAAACTTTCAGCAATATTTTAACCAAATATGCTCATTGTTATACCGGTTCACGAACCTGTTTTGAAAAGGGCCAAATAGCTGTGCTTAAATCATGTTTTATTAGCTGTATCAGCTGCAAGGCTGTATCTTGTATAAGTCTGAGCAGACACCCTATATAATTGAGGTGGGAGAGGACATACACTGAACCAGTTAATGTTGGAATAATGATTTATTAAATATTTTGGTGACATAATTTGTATGTTGAATTTTTTATGGCAGTAATTTGATGGCATTTAACTATTGCATTACATGTTCATACTCATATGAAAACATTCGATCACAATCTCGTAAAGTAAGTACATTGTTGTCACATGATGTCATGAAGTAAGTACATTGTTGTCACATGATGTCATGAAATAAGTACATTGTTGTCACATGATGTCATGAAATAAGTACATTGTTGTCACATGATGTCATGAAATAAGTACATTGTTGTCACATGATGTCATGAAATAAGAACATTGTTGTCACATGATGTCATGAAATAAGTACATTGTTGTCACATGATGTCATGAAGTAAGTACATTGCTGTCGCAAGATGTCATGAAGTAAGTACATTGCTGTCGCAAGATGTCATAAGGTAATCACATTGTTGTCACATGATGTCACAAGGCAAGTACATTGTTGTCACATAATGTCACGAGGTAAGTACATTGTTCTTACATGATATCATGAGGTAAATACATTATTTTCACATGATATCATGAAGTATGTACATTGTTGTCACATGATATCATGAGGTAAGTACATTGTTGTATGACATTTATATCCTAATTTTCTGTATTCAGTGTTTGTGATATTCAGTTTCACTCAAAGAAGTAAAGCTCACACTTTTAATATTTCCTCTACAATCTGCCCAATATCATTTATATCATTTGTTTACCCCCTCCTCTAAAGAAGTAACACTACATATACGGTCAAACGCGGCTGTTCTAGACTATATATTTGGATTGGAGTTTGCTACACCTACTTGTGACATTGAAGGGCTAAAAAAATCATTGAATTCAAATACAAAATTGAGTAATTTTCTTCTTTAATTATTGCGTCTCTTATATATGCCTCGCCTGTAAGTTTTCGGACTTACAATACTAAAACCAATGATTCTATTCTATTCAATGAACAGGGCACAGGTAGGGCGTTGCAGAGGTTTGCGCTACCCCTCCACCTCCCCCCAAAAAATACATATAGACACATACGTATATATATATGCTTAATGTAAAGTCCAAATTCTGAAGCTGAAATATAGAAAAAATACATAAGTATGTTGATATTTCTTGAAATATGTATTACAAAATGGTATAGTTATTTTATATATATTCGATTCAAATTCTTTAAAAGATAAAGATATATAGTCCGTTTTTAGGTATCCACTTACAATTCTTCTGTCTGATCCCTTCCTTTGTTCTGGTCTGTCATGGCGTAGTGGTTAGGGACGCTCGATTCTCAATCTGAGGGTCTCGGGTCAACCCAAACACACTCATCTTTTCAGCTGTGGGGCGTTATAATGTGACATTCAATCCCACTTTTCACTGTAGTTGGCGGTGGGTGGTGTTGATTAGTTACCTTTACTCTAGCCTATCACTGCTGAATTAGGTATGGCTAGCGCAGATAAACCTTGTGTAGCTTTGCGCGAAATTCAAACCCAAACTTCTTATGTTCCACAGAATCATCATGCATATTTTCGTTGTGAAGCACGAGATCTGTTTACGTCACTTGTTTTAAGTTAACCGTAAAACAGTCGCAATTATAAGTTTAGTCTAGCAATCTGGATCACGAAGAATTTTTTAAATCAATATTGATCTTAAATTTTGGACCCAATTATTTCAAACGCTCAGTTTATTTGAAAGCAACGTTTTGATATTAATGTATTTTTTTTTCGTCCTAATTTTCGTATATTCTTTATTGGTCCTTAAACGAGACATTTGCGTCTATATAGCACATATCTCGTGAATGTAAAAAATTCCTTTATCTTGGTGCCTTCTACTATACGAAAGGTCATATAGGTACGTTCTATTAAAACCATGTTGAATCCTAACCACGTTGTTATAGTTCGTACTCTATCTGACGACCGTGCATCTTGGCAATAACCCTGCAGCGTAGTTCTGTGTCGCCTATGGACACAGAAGTCCATAGGCGACTTGACTAATATACAATAACATTTCCTTTTTCATTCTTCTCTGTACGATTTTCATTGGTCGTTATACGAATAAATAGTGAATTATGAATTATATTATAAACTTCACAAATGTTTCCAATACGTTTTCTACTATCAAATGTTAAGTTTTTTATTTATATTTTCATATTATTTAAGACTGTCGTTCCAACAGGAATATCGTATTACACAATCAACAAATAATACTTTTTTTTTAAACATGTGAAATATCCTACATCAAGATCTACATATTTCTGTTTCAACACCTTGTGCACTCTGGTGGCATCTAGTGGTAAATGCATTCACCATTAGGATTTTCACAGAGCTATTTCTGTCTCGATTATTGTTTGTGATCAGC